CTGCTTCTGCCAGGCACAGACTTACAGCCTGGGAGGACACCTCACCAAACATGAGTTCCTGTATAAGCCAGTCCCCACACTGCTCCTGGGAAGAGATCTCCTCTTCAAGTTAGAAGCAGCCATCTCCTTTGCAGCAAGCCAGTCAGCCTCCCTCTCATCTAACCCTGTGCTTTCCACTTTGACTCTTCCCTGAGAGGAAGATGATGTCTGCATCAGCCTGAGACAGATAACCGCAATCCTGATGTTCTGAAAACTCTCCTCCCAGAGACATACACTGAAGACTTGCTTCTGAACCTGGCCGTCAGCCGTGCCGCCTCACCATGACCCCCGTTGCTGTCAGATGTCATGAGAAGCACAAACAGACATCCCGCCACATGTCAGCCTGATAAACGGTTAGTCACCTTGGGCAAGATCTCTGTGCTATCAACAATGCAGCCATCACCTTTCTTTCTGCAGTTCCCAACACATACACCTTTCTGGACTGCTCCCCAGCTGCCACAAGGGTCTAGGAACTCTCCCACTGTTTTCGTGGAGGCCCTAGCAACAGATTTGGCTCCAGGACAGCTGTTTCTCTGGCCCTTCTAGCTCCATCACTGTCTTTAAAGAGAGAGAAAATGAGGCTTCAAAGCTGTGAAATGTCTAGCTGCTAAACTGCACCTCTCCTGCCTGTAAAGCCAGTTCAGTATCTCTGCGCTGCCAGTTCCACTGTGATTGCCCTCCATATACACTGCCTCAGTCTTCTGCCACCCACAGCCTGCTGGTACACTTGCCTGACCTAAAAAAATGCCTTTTTCTGCCTTCAGTTGGCTCTTGTCAGCCAGCCCCTCTTCACAAAGACCCCAATTCTGGACTCAAAGGTTAACTGACCTGGAGTCAACCTCCCAGAGGTTCATAAACTTTTTTACCCTCTTTGGAGAAGATCACTGCCCTCCTGCTTGATGACACCCAAGCTGCTTGTTGGAAAAGCACAACAGCTCTGCTACAATATCTGTCAGAAACTGGTTACAAAAGAGAAACCCCACAGATTTCTTGGAGCTGCTGGATTCTACAGAATCTGGATCCTTGAGTTCACAAAAACAATGATGCTTACTCAGACTGTCACCCCCTGGGAGTGCCCAGTGTCCTACCTGTGCAAGTACTTGGATCTGGTCACTAAGGGCTGCCTCCCCCTTCACCCCCACACTGTAATAGCCACTGTCCTTCTGATTAAGAAAGCTGACAAGCTTACCTTAGATGAGACCTAACTGTCCAAGTGCCACATGCTGTACCGGACTTCCTGAATAACTGTACACCACTACCGATGCTGAGTACACCCTGTTTACAGATGAAAGTAGCTCTGTTAGAAATGGAGTCTGACGGCTAAATATGCGTGGCCACCTTGGACAAAGCTATTTTGGCCAAAACTCTCCTGCTACCGCTTCCTGCTGCTGTTTGGAAACCTGCCACCGATGCCAAACCTGCTCTCCTCAGGCTCCTCGGGGGGACTGGACTGACTGAAATATCAACCCAAGCCATCAGACCTGCCCCAGTTGTATGTTCTGCAAACTCAAGCTGCTGCTACTCATACCCCTGCAGCCAGCTCAGACTTCAGTGTCTGTGTCACTGGCCCTGACCTCCCATTCCCTACCTGTACTGAGAAGATGATAAAAGTTTGCATGGTCCTTCTGTAAAAAAGAAATCATCCCCAGATATGGCCTACTCTTTATCATTGGCAGTGGCCACAGGCCTGCATTTGTAGCAGAGGTAACTAAAAAACTAGATTAAATAAAAATTACATATAGCATATAGGCCACAAAGCTCTAGAATAGTTAAAAACAGCTTGTAGCCCACACACATATAACCCAGGTGCATATTAACTACCTCTACAAGTTTCAGAAATCCAGCCTTAGATCTGCTGAAAAATTTACCTGGACCAGACAGCTCACTCTGAAGAAATGATGCAGTCAAAGCCCTGCTCTGGTCACTCTGGGTGCTGACCTGTCTGTGCACAGTTAAAGCCTGACGACACAGTTCACAGGACTGCTCCACACCTGTTTCCCTTGTTTTTTGTGTCTTTTCAGGCTACTTACCCCAGCCCTTGCTTCCCTGCCTTCTGCTAGCTGTGTTTTTTTGCCTTAAACTCTATATTCAGTTACCCTAAAGGAACAGGCCTAAATTATATCTCTTCCTAAAAACAACTTAGGGAAAAGTTCTGTAATAAGGCAATCTCAGGGGGGCTCGGCTAGGACCCATCCTAGGATCACTGACAACCCTAATGTTACTGCTTCTAGTTGGGCCTTGTCTTAGTTCACATGTAATATGTTGAGCAAGGCTTTGCCAGAGAAACTAAAATAGGGGGGCAATGTAAAAGAAAATGAGCCCCCTAGTCAAAACACTTCAGTTTCTTAGATGCCCAGGTAATAATAGTTCCTCTTCCAGTTCCAGTTGCTCCTGTCTTAGAAATGGCTGGTCACTGTGATGCACAGCTGGTCACTGTGATGCACATTGTATAAACCTATCCCCAGTTGACGGGCCATTCTGCCTCTGTTCTTCCTGCTTGCTTATCCCGTATAAGCCCTCGACCACCAGAGATCAGGGCCTGATAGTCTGGGAATGATCCCGAGTACTGCCCTTGGACATAAATAAATCTGCCTCCAAATCCCAGGTGTCATTTGGTGTTTCCATTCGCCATTGCAGTTGCTTGCTGCTTGCTGCTTTTGCTGCCTTCTGCCTGCTATGAACTCTTTCTCCCTGCGATGCCCCTCTGCCATGTGACACCCAGTCTTGGAGCCAGCTGATCATGGACTGAAACCTCTATAAACTGTGAGCTGAAATAAACCTTTCCTTCTTTAACTTTGGGTGTTGGGTATTTTGTCTCAGCAATGAGAAAAAAGTACGATGGTGCTGGAGATTAAACCCAGAGCCTTTGCATTAAGCCCCAGCCCCAGCTCTTTTTTAGTTCTTTTTAAATATTGAGATTGGGCCTCACCGAATCACTAAGTTGCCCAGGCTGGGCTTGAATTTATGCTCTTCCTGCTTCAGCCCCACGAAGTGCTAGGATTACAAACGTTTGCCACCACACCCACCTCTGCTGCTGTGTATGTGTCCGCTCATTCTTCCCCTGATATGGCCTATCCTTCCTGCCCCTGTGTCATGTTGATTTCAAACTTTGTGTAAACATGCATTTTTTTTCAAGCTTCAAGCTAGTCAAGCTTTGCTGGAGTCATTCCTAAAATATCATCCCTCACCTTTCCAGCTTTGGGCCTGTGTATGGAGGGGGAAACAGAGGGTAACAATATCTTAGTGTCCTCCTTCAGTGAAGTCATTAGACTGCTGCCAAGCTCGGGAAGTATTCAGAGGCCCATTTTAACAGGAGGAAACCAAGGGCAGGTAATTGAGTGAGCGCCCACTCGCCCACTTTGACCCTCTCAGCTCTTGCTCCCTGGGGTATCACTTGGTCAGGGACAGTGAGCAGGACTCACTCAGGCCCTGGATGCCTGTAGAACCTCCACTGGCCCTCTGAATGGACCTGATTCCTCACTCCCGGCCACTTGCTTGCCCAGCTTTTCACAGGTGCATGGAGTTGTTTGATGCGTTTCCCAGTTGGACAATGAATGTTGTGCAGGTATCACTGGCAGTGGATCTGTGTCCACTGTTCTTGAACTATAAAGGTCCCACATTCCTAGCGCTTAGCTGGATGGAGGCCTTCTGAGCAGGTCTTTTCTGCCCTCTTACAAATTATAAATCTGTGACTCAATGATCTCTTTCAGGGTTCAAATTTTCGTTTTCAGGCAAATGGCTAGAACTTTCCACCAGTTCTATAAAGTAGTTGGTAATGGTCTGTAATTATTTTGGCCTTGTCTTTTAATACCTTGAGAATAATAATCTGTGTAGTTTGTAGGACTGAACCCAGCTACTTAAACAGTTGTGAGCTGTTTTAACAGGCTATGTATGTGCAGGGCACCTTGGGAAGTAGGTAAAGACAATTTGCTTCTTTTCTATTATGTGGGCAAAAGTGGGCTTTTTTATGTTTTCAAATTCGTTTAAGAAGTGCATGTCCTCCATAAAAATACTCATAATTATTCGTGTGTAAAATGCTTTGACGTGTCTGGTCAGAGAGCCTGCATCTGAAGGGCCGTGGGTGCTGGCGACTGCGTCAGGGCAGCTGTGTGCACACAGTCCTTGCACAGAGATGGGCTAAGCTGGCCGGTTTTCTCTCCATGGAAATGGACACGAAGGAGGACGGAGCAGTTACAGAAAATAGAAAATTCCATAGAAAGGACACATTAAAGGAATGTTCTCAAGCCTGTCCCAGTACTCATCACGAATGAAATTTTAAATTTTTATTTTTAAATATAGAACATTTTAAAACGTCAGTTTCTGTTTTTCACCAGGAGTCAAACTGATCATATGACCTCCACTTAGCATTCCCCCAAGACCCGTTTCCAAACTGCACATCATGGTGTTTGTCAAAACTTGCTAGTGATGGCATAGGGTTGGGCATAAATAATCTCTCTCCCTCTATTTTCTACCAGTTTTTCTGGTCACAGAAGCTTTTCTGTAACTGGGATAGAAGAATCCCCAAAGGGTGGGTGGTAACCTGTCAACACACCTGTGGGTGTGATGAGATATAGAATAAGAACACACTGACAAAAATATTCATAGATGAAATTAAAATTTGATGTTCTATTTAAAGCTATTGGATTTTAAAGAATTATATTTTCATGTTAAATGATACTTGAGACTTGGCAAAAATTATTTTAGTTGCAAGAATGTAATTAATGCTATTATTCATACAAAATGGTTTTATGATGCTATTCTTGGTAAGAGAAAATGCTTCCCCTCACATAAGTATGCTGGGTACCATTTTTTGGAAAATATGTCAAGCATAATAGTAATATTAGAGTTTAAATTGTCCTATACGGCTGCTACCTATTGACCTAAACCCTATTTCTACCTTTTTCAGATGTCTATTAGTTATATTTTCAGGTAAAAATTGGATGCTGAAGAATGAAACAAACTTTCAAAGTAGAAAAAACTCATTTTTAATCAACAGAATTTAGAGTCTTTTTCCATCTTCTCTGAAAGCAGCAAATCCTCCTGCCCCACCCGCTTTGGTTCTGCACCATTAAGCTGCACCAGGGCAGAAACACCCCCGAGCACCCTCTTCACATCCCATTCCTTCTGATGCTGGGTACCACGTCCCATAGCAATGGGGAGGGCAACGCTGGAAAGGAAGAGGGTGTGGCACGGGGTCACCTCATTGCAGGCTGCAGCTGGTGGTAAATACAGTTTGTATTTCTGATATAAAACGACACTTGCAGTTTTGAAATGAGGGCGTTTGCTCTCCTAAGCTGTCACGAGGACCTTCTAGTTTGTCTCATTTCAGAGCAGCTTCGAGGGTGTGTGCAATAATACACTGTGGTTATTAACACAGCCAGTCTGCGAATTACCCATAGTGACAAGGTCATCCTTTAAATTAAATTAGAGGATCTAATCATGTACCATTTACACATCATCATCTCAGACTGACACAGGAAGAGTGTACAATGGTTTTCAGAACATCTTCGGATCAAAGGAACCTGTCTTATTTTAAAGTTTTCATTTAAAAAAAGCACAGCGGGGGCTGGGGATTTAGGTCAGTGGCACAGTGCCTGCCTGGCAAGTGCGAGGTCGTGAGTTCAATTCCCAGTACCGGAAAAAAAGTAGAAATAAAAAATAAAAAAAGCACAGCAGTGATCGAAGCGTTAGGTAACTTTGTCCACTGTTACAGATTACGACTTCTTAAGCAAATAAAAGAACCATGATTCTGTGTTTACCTTTAACTGGGGGAACCTGCACAGTATGTCTAAAGGGGACACTGGAGCTTTTTCAACATCTAGAGGACCCGGCCTGCACATGCTGTCCTCAGAGAAACAGAAACAAATGACGCTGGGCTTGTTTTCAAATAAGAAAGTATCTTACACCAATAACCCCTACCAGCTCGGGTCTCACCGGAACTAACTTTAGTAAAAATTAACACAGTCATAGACTTAGCCTTTGTTTTGGGGGCCTGGGAGCAAGGAGCCCCATTGCAGGCGCTGGGGTTCATGGAAGGCCTGGGGGTTCCAGTAGTTGAATTTAAAATGGGAATCTTTGTCTTGGCAAATGCTGGTGACTGATCCTTGACAGCTAAGCACAGGTTGCTTCATCCTTTTATGCAATCTCTTATCTACAGCTGAGCAATGCTAAACTGGTTTTTTGGACTTTCTGGAACAAAACCTAATGAACAAATAACACAATTCTGCGACGTTCAGCAAGATGCAAATGCCAGACACGGCAATCATGAACACAGTGAAGACAGTCTTCTCCGTGGGCCTGGAAATAAAGCAGTCCACCGTATTGGGACAAGGCCAAGCATTGCACTTCACCAGGCGCTGCATGAAGAAGCCGTTGTACATGATGTAGAAGACGTACATGAAGGCGCCTTCAAAGATGACCCGGAAGAAGACACTGGTGGTGTAGGTCCACCACAGGGACCCTTCTATGCGGACCTTCTCATTTTTGATCTCCTCGATGTCCTTAAATTCACTCTTCATTTCTCCCTTAATGAACTTCCTTTTCTTCTCGTGCCTCCGGTAGGCGACGTGCATGGCCACCAGGAGTGCCGGCGTGGACACGAAGATCAACTGCAGGGCCCACAGGCGGATGTGAGAGATGGGGAAGTAGTGGTCATAGCAAACATTTTTGCAGCCAGGCTGGAGGGTGTTGCAGGTAAAATCGGACTGCTCGTCTCCCCACACCTCCTTTGTGGCCACCACCAGGATCATGACGCGGAAGATGAAGAGGACTGTGAGCCAGATTTTCCCAATGCTGGTGGAGTATTTGTTGACACCCCCCAGGATAGTGTGGAGTGCACCCCAATCCATCCTGTCCGCCGGGTGGTCGGTACTGGAAAAGACGAAGGAACACAACACAGCAGTCATTAGCTTGGACAGGACCCGGTGAGTTCTCTATGTTTGGGTAGGAAAGATCTCTTAAATCCCTTCCTGCCTCTTACACAACCTCCCCGCAGAGCTTCAACATGGTGGTAAGCGATTTATTTACTTTGCTGAAATTTAGGGAAAGTTTCAGAAATAGTATTGGAAGATACTGACACCATCATGTCAAGCCGAACATATTTGCAGTTTTTTCTTTTTATTCAATTGTACTGTAAATCTCTTAAGGAAAATAACTAAATTGGGCTTCTGAGGTAGTTCATATTTGACCTGGAATTTTTTTTTAATCTTTCTGAGACAGGGTCTGGCTACGTAGTTTGGGCTGGCCTTGAGCTTACTTTGTGGCCCAGGCTGGTCTCGAACTTGCAATGACCCTCCTGCCTCAGCCTTCCGAGGGCTGGGATTACAGGCATGCACCACCATGCCTGGCTAGACCTGAAAATGTTTTAAAGTTAACTCTAACAAAGGATTCGCTGAAAGTTATAATAAAGCTACTTTAAATTGAGTATAAAAATGTTGTTTCAACAAGTCAACTTTTAAAAGCAAAATCTGGAATTACTGGAAGCCATTCCATTGGTAAGCAAGATACTGTTTGAGCTGTACAATCAGGTAACAAAATGTCTTAGCGTGAGCATTAAAAAAGCAACACAGTTTGCAGTAGGTTCGAATGTATAGCTCCCAAGCCATCTGGAACAGGTTCTCCCGTGTTCTCTAATAAGTAGCACCTTGCTCATCTGAGTAAAACAGGTATGTCGCTCTGCCGACGTGCAGTACTGGTTAGCTTAAAAGCACACACGAGCTCTGACAGCCCACCGGGTGCCACACTCACCCGTGGGCATTCGCAGCGCCTCAGTCCCCGCCTGTCAAGCTCCACCACTGCTGTCTGTGGCTCAGAACCAAGTCCTCCCCCAGCCGGTGGCCTGTGTCTCATGCGGGACAGGAACTGTCCCCACTGAGTCACAGCTACACCCTGTCACAAGCGGCCCCTTCCTAAAAGGGTTCCACGCTCCCCAGGGCCCGATGACTCACACGTGACCCACTCCTGGGGGGTGCTGGACCCTCCCTTACTGAAGAGCACCCTGCTGTCATTTCAGGCGCCTCTCAGTCTCCCGCTGAGCCGAGGTGCGCGCAGAAGGAGTGCTCCTACCACCACGGCTGCTGGAGCCTCGCCGGTCGGCCGCGGTCTGCCGGAGCAGGGCAGCCAGGCCGGACCGAAATGTCCTAGTGAGCGCGTGTCCCTGTGCAACAGCTCGAAAAGGGAAAACGCCCCTGGAAACAGGAGCGCGCCAGCCCGGGTTCAGACCTGACCCATTCGCTGCAGGCTGTCCGGGAGGGCCCTCGGCGTGCGGAGGGAAGTCTCACCGACCGTCGAGCGCCGCCCCCGCGGCAGGCCCACCGCAGAAAGCAAGCACTCGGGGTCAGGAAGCTCCTCGCGGGCACGTGCTACATGAGAAACGGAGAGCCCGAGCGCGGGGCTGCCGACGCCCGGCCCCTCTGCAGCCCCGGCCGCCCCGGCCCGCTCGGCCGCCACGCTTTCGAGGGCTGGGGTCCCCAGGGACCCGTCTCGCCGG